GGCTCCGAAGGGGGGGGGGGGCATATTCCATAACTGTCCCGATTTAGTTATGCCTGAGATGGGGGCCCTATAAAAATCAGATACATTAATAGTAGAGCTAAAATTTAAAATTTGTCCCATTAAGATCTACTTAAAAATGTTATAGATATAGCTTTTTTTAAATTAATCAAACTTTGTGGAAAATTCTAGATTGTATATTATTAGTTTTAATCCAACGCTATTTCAATACAGACAATGAAGTGTATTGCTAGCATGCTAGGCATATTTCCACAAATTCACATAGAAACTATAGTGTTGTCCTAAGCCTATTGATATTTATAATGAGATTGGGCCCCCGGACTTAGAGAGATGTATATTATGAGCTCAGTACCCTTCGGTATTTGAATATGAATGGGTGTACTTAAATCGATTCAGATCCAGCTATTCATGTAGGAGTATTAAGCCTATTGATATTTATAAAGTTTATATAAAAAAGAATGAAACGGGCACCCCTGCCCAAGGGGTATGGATATTATGAGTTCAATAACCTTTGGTATTTAAATATGGATAATTAAATGTATGTGTACTGAGTTTTGTCAATGTCCATCCATGCATGTGGGAGCATTTGAAGGTAATTTTATTAATATAGCTTTTTAAACGAAATAAAAAGGTTTTGGAGGCCCCCGGCCCAAACCGAATGTTAAAAAAATTTCATAACGCTAAAAATTTCCTTCCAGGAAATGATGGATATATGTGCCAAGTTTGGTCAAGATCCATTAATCTATGTATAAGCCTTTGTGGAACAAACAAAGAAACCCGCAAACAAATTTTCACTTTAATATAAATATGATATATATAATATATATATATATATATATAATAATAATAAACATGTTCTAAGGGCTTTAAGGAACTTTCCAGTTCAGATATCTTTGTGTTCGAACTATAAATTAACCTTTTATAGAGCGGTGCGCTTTCAAAATTCTATTTCACACATCGATACTATTTTTTTCGAAGCCCCCTTTATAAATAAAGCTTTAAACTTACATTTGAAATAAAGTTTATAGCAAAAATTATGTGTTAAATGAAATTATTTTTTTAAATATTTTGAAACATGTGTATTTCCATTTTAGGAAACTTGCGTTGTATAAGGTCTTGAGTATTCTTTAGATAAGATCTATCACTGAGTTCAGAGGCATGAAAAGGTTGATTTGTCAAACAATTTGTTTACAGTCTTTAGAAGGGTTTGGGGTCTTATATTAATTCTTACTACCAACTTTATACAACAGATGCAAATGGGGAAGGGAAAATCGCAAGATTATGAATTTTCTCGAAACCATCTAAAGTAAAAATACGATACTGAATTGCAGGGTGCATTTTATGAGTATTGTTAGTTATCAAGGATGAAATTCGCTACATACGGAAAGAAAAATACGTCTATTTTAATTTCTTTTAAAAAAAAATATTTAATGGTCCACATTCATTTAAGGCTTAATAAATTTAACCCAACATATGTTAATTTGTAGATTTTATGCTAACATCGGATAATGATGGCACTGTAGTGTGACTGGTAAATACGGTGCAAGACAATGAAACAATTAGGACTCTACAACAACAGAATTCCTCCTTTGAGCCCATCCAACTATGTACAATTTAAAATTCTAATCTTTAATCTATATCAAAGCACAAATTGAGTACACATACACATTTTTGGTCATAAGTTAAATGTATGAGGTTTAATATAATTTCCAACGACCCATTTTATCGTAAACGATATGAGTTTGTTGTTGTAAAACCAAATGCAAATTACTTGTACATAGGTGAAAATGTACCCCAAAAATGTAATGCATCCAACTTATTCCCTTAAAAACTTGAACAAGAACAATCTAATTCATTAAACAACTCCGAAAAACAAAGTTCTTCTTTAAATATTTTACAAAATTTAATATCCATCAATGGGTGGGGGGCTGAACATTTCACAAAACATGTCTACATAAAATGCAATTTATAACAAACAGAATTTGTGCTCACACAAAGCTCTCAACCGCACATGTTTTTCATGTCCCTAAACTATATTAATATTTTAATTTTCCTCCCGCTTTTACACTGCAGATTAATTTCACCAGCTATTTCTTTTTCTTTTTTTTTTTTTTTTAAATAAGTTATTATCATCAAATGCTATTGAAATATATTTTTAAGACTCTTATTTAGCCCAGTTGTCGGGAATGTTCCTTCTTGTTCCCCTTGAAAATATTAAAAAAAAAATTAAAAATGAAATTATGACTCAATGTGTTTTCATGGGAAACGAGTCTTTGGATTAAATTTCAGCTCGATAGCTGGACGGGATTTGTTCATTTCACCAAAAATTTGTATTGTCTCCGTTGCAATTAGATCAATTTGTTTTATCATGAGACTTACACAGTGGTTGACTTGGTACATTTTCAAAACGTCGAAATTTCGTTGTAAAGATAGTCATTTCACCAAACCGAAGATTAAGCCACTCAAACAGCAACAAACACAAGTGAAGTTATTATAAATGATTTAAATATCCTGACAAATATCACTTATTCTAAATCTAAACAATTTTTTTTCTAATAAGAATACACTTTTTACAGAAACATTTTTAATACAATAAAATTAATCTGTTTACAAAACCCACATCGTAACACATATCTTTATAGTGTTAAGCTACGTCTTCATGAATCTTCACATAACACAATGAGAAAAGAGACTATTGTATAACGTTACTTTTTGGTATGATCTTGGGAATACGATTTCATTAAAAATTACTATTCAATTTAAAAAATGCAGGTAGAGGAAATATAGATGTTGACATTTAGTATTATTATTATATGTTATTGTTGTTCGTCCGTCAAAATCAACTAGGTCCATCAAGTCATTCGGTTAGGGTGGATGTTGGGTTACAGTGAACTCGTAGGTGGCTTGCTAGACCGATCCGTGCTCGGAATAATCTCTGGCACCACGGGCAGGGGAAAGTTGCTGCAGTCGGTTATGTAATGTTGCTCTTTCGGACAAGCCTGCGTGTCTCAGCTGTGGTTATCATACTGGTTTCAGGAGATGTAGCACACTTCTTGACAGTAGCTGTACACCTGGCTCTATCCTTGCTTTCTGCACCCATTGTGTATGGTTGGTGCTGAAGGTCTTTAGTGCCGCTTTCAGTGAGTCTTTTTAACGCTTCATTTGACCTCCTTGGAAGCGCTTGCCTATCGTAAGTTCTCGCAAAGAATATCTGTTTTGGTAGCCGGTGGTCTTCCATGGGAGCTACATGTCCCATACGTGTGAAGATGAGACTGCATCATTGTTGTGGAGAAGTAGGCTCGCTCTAGCGAGGATCTCTGTGTAACGAACTTTGCCTTGTCACCTGATGCCGAGAAGTTTCCTGAGGAAGTTTTTTTCAAAGATGATTGAGTTTCTTGGCGTGACGCTGGTAGACTGTACACGCCTCACATCGGTGGAGCAATGTCGTGAAGACTGTTTGGCTATAGACCTTTATCTTCGTTTCTCGTCTAATACCTATCCTGTCCCAAAAAAGTGCTACGGAACCTGCCTAATTTGGAAATAGCTTTTGAGAATCTGGCATTCATTTTATCGGCCGTGACGACATATCTGGATAGGGTGCTGCCCAAGTAAGTACATTTATCCAACGCGTTGAGACGATATCCGCTGATGATAATATTGGGTTCAAGTAATGCTTACTGGGAGCTGGCTGATACATGACCTTAGTCTTCTTTGTGTTGATTGTGAGGCCAAAGTTATTGCAGCCCTCGGAGAAGATATCAACGCTGTGTTGCATGACGGCTTCTGATGCAGCGTCGAGGGTACAATCGCCTCTAGAATCGCAAATAGAATCTCGTTGATGGTGGTATGTTTGATCCTGGATTTAGCTTGAAGCCTGATCCATATATATATATATATATATATATATATATATATATATANTATTTATATTGTTTCCCTATACGGAGCGTTCATAGTTTCATGGACTTGTGCGCAAGCCTGATAAAGTACCTCTTTCAAAACACTATGATGATATTCTAATAAAATATAATTTGCACTCAATATATATATAACATCTTGAAAATATTTTATTTTTTTATTAATTTACTGATGCCCCAATCTAAGCTAATAAAATTAATAATATAAACAAAATTTGAAATTTCAAAAAACTATTTGAACATCTAAAAACATCTTTCAATACGTAGATCTCAAAAACCTATTTTGCTCAAACTTATATTAATAAACTTTTAACATTCTCGTGATCAAAAAAAAAAGTTCAAATCAATTGAAAGAGCCTATCCCACTCAATCAAATGGGTTCAAAATAGGATAATATCAATTTGTAGCTCCTCCACTTACTACATCAACTGCCACTACTTTCTAATGCATCTAAACTTATAATTTTCATGTAAGAAACAAAAATGTAACAAACAAAAACATTTTACTTTTTTTTTTTTTTAAATCTTAAAACTCTTGATCCTATCTAAACAATATACTCTTTAAATAATGCAGACGAAAAAAATGGGCACATTTAAATAAAAGAAGGAAGAAATAATACATAGAAATGTACTAATAATTATTATGATTATAATAATAAAAAGTATATCTATAAAGTTATAATAGTGTTATAAAAAAGCAACTTTAGTTAATGTCATTATATACTTGTTCTTAAGTTGTTGTTTTTTTAATGATAAAACATTTTAAGTTTGATATTGATATTCAATACTACTTATAATTTAATATTTTAATTTTATTTATTTTTCACTTCTCAATGGAACATTTTTTTAAAAATGAAGTGACAAAAAAAGTAGTAATGCAAATAAAGTTGCATTTAAAGTGTTTTTATTTTGCCATTATTATAAATATATAGTATTAGTGATTTTGGAATTATGTTATGCTTTATTCTCATAATTTAAATTTAACTTTCACTTCTAAGAAATCTAAAGCAATAGCATTTCAAGTCATCAATGACGTCACTACTGCAAATGGTACACTTAGTTGATTAAATAAGCAATTTTTTTGCAGAAATATTTCACTAACATATTATAACCATTTGAGTGTGACGTAAAAATTGAAATATTTTAAAGAATCTTAATAAAGTAGATTATAATGAAGTGACGTGTTCAGTGTTCTCAATTTCTGCTATGGTGATCTGGCCAGTCTTTGTAAAGTCGATCTCCTGGTATTGAACCTTTTCCCGTTTTGACTTGACGCTGCCAGCTGACGTACGCGTCGTCTGTTTCTCAATGTCTCCTATCGTGACGTACAGTAAGCCATCATCGCTTACATAGTGGTCTGATTTTAAAATACATTTTTTTTAGCATTCCTGTTTCCCCTTTTTTCTCCCTACGTTTATACTAATATATATGATAAATATATATGAATAGTAACTTACTTTGAAAAAAAAATCTTACGTCTGGTTTATCTATTGTTAATTGTATTCTATATAGCTAACGTAACTAAAAAGTAAATTTAATCATTTTTTATTATAGAATATAAATTTCTACTACTTTACAACACCACTTGAAATTTAAAAAAAAAAAAAATTCTTTAACAAAATTAATTCTATATTATTACATGAAGTAAATAAAACTAAACATTGAGGGTTGCAATGAACACACATTTCAATCTCTACCAACTATTAAACCATCAGCCCTGATTTCCTAAACTTGTCAACCATAAGAACATTCAGTCCCATGATTCAGGGCATATGTTAAAAAATGCTAATGCATCTCTACAAACTTTCTAAGATGACAGACTGGTCCAGTCGTCCTGATAACGAGGGATTAATCAATCTCAATTGTCACATGCTTAGAACGCGATATTTATGCAACATTCCTTCGCACCCCCGTTAAACTTTAACGCGGCAAGCCACAGAGGGATTTAATGGATATTTTTTTTAAAAAAGTGTTCTTTAAACTGTAGGACCTATCTTTTTGGTCTTCTTTGTATTGGTTTTAGACAAATTGACCTTAATAAAGAAAAAAAAAAAACCTTACTTCAAATGAAACAAAGAAAATGTCCTACTTTATTTATGAATTCAAATGCTTCTCTCTACTGCAACTTCTACCACTACTTCTACCACAACTACAATTACTATTAATGCTTCCATTACTACGTAACCTCAAGTACAGTCTTACAATCGTTAAGCTAATACGACTAGCTACAATGTATCTAAATGAAAAAGTGCTGAAAAAAAACAACGACAGGCTCATGAAACAATTAAATTGGGACAAATACTATTACTGTCGATTTAGGAAGCAATGCAATGAGTATATAATATGAATGTTGAAATTTTAACTTTTGTTCCCGGGATATAAAGTAATATATTAAACCAAATTTACAAATTTACAATAATTTGCTTCCATAGACCGGAGTTCGTCCCATGATTTATAGCGTAAAGATTCATAGTTACATTATTCAAATGTTAAAATATATTTATTTTGAAGCATTTCAACCAAACTGAACATGAATTTGTGATATAATATTATAAAAATGCACTTCATATAATTTTTTTTTTCATGATTACAATAAGGTTATTATTGTTGCAACCAATTTTAACATATTATATGTTTACTTGCGTGAGCTTTCGATTCATTTTGCTTTGCATTATCTTCTGGTTTGTTCTCAGATGGACAGCTTAAAAGATGTGAATCAGATGCTTCATATTTAACTGGCTGTGTCATTTCTTTGTCATTCGCGTGATCCTTGTTGTCTTCATGTTTCATATTGATACCTTCTGAAGCATTGATATAACAAAGCTATTGGAAATATATCATTCTTAGATGCATAAATACAAAGCAATATTTGCTAATATTTAATATCGGCATCATTATCACTGCAACATGATATTGTGTCTGACACGCAGGCATGTTCAGTAATTGTTAATACTTGTAACTCAACAAATTATCTCGAACTAGCAATGCATCTTATTTCATTAATTTCAATGAAGTGTTAGCTTTACTCGTTGCAAGTTTGATCAGAAAGGCATAAGCAACGCAGTGATGCTAAGTTCTTCTCCAGGACCTGAAAGTAGTAAACTATCTAGGAAGCCCACTGTGTTCCAAAAAGAAACAATCGAGGGAGGTGAGCAAATAAATGGCGGAATGTCTTGGAGTGTATGGACAAGGAGAAGGATCACCACTCAAACTAAAATGTACGCATTCAAGTCGGCTATGCTCCCTACCCTTCTTTATGCCTGTGAAATGTGGACGGTCTGCCAACGCAATGCAAGTTCGACAAAAGCCAAGGTACTATAAAGGATTTTAAAAAAAATTGTTGAGCAGATGTACACTGCAGTTTAAGATTAAAGCAGATACCAGTTAAAAAAATTAAAAACTATATCAAATTAAAGGAATCTCGAAATATTGAAACTTTTCACTATTATTTTCAATATTTTGACAAATTCACACTGTGAAAAAATTTCATCAAAGAAGTTTCTCATCAAGCCGACATATATATTTGGCGTTGATTGCTGAGGAGTTAATTTAGATGAAGCGATAAACTCTGCCTTGAGTAACGAGAAAAAGAATGGAAGCAAAAGTTTGCAGGTTAGTTTTAAAAGCAATGTCAAATTTAACATTTAAGTGTGGTTCAATTAAGATTAAAAAGTTTTTTTTCGTTTTCATTTTTTTTAAATAGTGGTGTATGGTTATGATATGGTGTTAAAAATGTTAAGTTTCATCCACATAAACTTACTCTTTTTTGAAAAAAAAAATTCCCTTAGATCGTTGTAAAAAAAAAAAAAATATGTAATAATGAAGTTTCTAACATAAAATTATGTTAAAAATCAAAACAACGCGAACGGAAAATACTTTTTTTGAAAAGGACCGATTAAGCCTGGCATTGAACGTACGTGGCCAATCTGGCCGCAGTCCAAAATTATGACACTTTTATTTGTTTTGCTCACAATAGGAAAAACACGATTTTTTAATTATTTTTTTTTTTGCAAACTGGGCCAAATTAAGGTCGAATAATAAATTGACATGTTTTTCTCTGGATAATAGAGAACATCTGTGGAATGTTCAGTTTGCTAGGTGCATTAACTTTGTGTATCGAGTCATCCGGTGACTGATGACTTGCGCGGGTGACTTTTGTTTAAAGTGAGGAAGAGTGTGGCGTTAACCTCACTCTCTCGTCCGGGCCCACCATATCCAGTGGCAAGAATCTACGTTAAGACGACCAGGGCCATTGGGTACGTTTGCAGGAATTGTCATTGTATCCGCCTTATGGGACTCCAACTCCGGGTTTGAATTAAAAGTCTCCTTCTCTTAGATGAATTTCCGACCAAGCTTAACGCGTTTTTGCTTGGCTGGATTTGAACTTCAGACCACCAACTTGATCAGATCACCAACTTGAGGTTTGCCAAGTTTTAGACCATTCGGCCACCCAGTCACCCTAAACATATCCACATAGAAATAAAGAATTTTAAAATAATGATAAATATTACAAATACATACTTCCTCTCCTTGAACGTTCTATGAAAATAAGTGTAATGACGGATGCAAGGAGTATTAATGCATTAATAACTATGACCACTGTGTACAAGCTCCTGCCATTTGCGTTCGGTGTGTCTGAAAAAATGCATGTATTGAAAATATAATAATTTTTAGTTTTAACTCGACAAAGGATTACAAAATTACGACTTTATATAAGTTTATTCTTGTATACAGCGTTCCCTTGCTAAAACTAAGATTCACATTCGCTGGTTATTGAATGTGAACAAAATTGAGAAAGTTCGCAGCGTGAATTATCTTCTGAACGGAAAACAAGCTGTGGAGAAAACGGTGTTTTTTTTTTCAGCCTTGACTCCATTCTAAAGAATCGTGATGCACAAAACGCTTAAAAGCAAGCCAATTGGGACAGGTCAAAATGGGAAAGTGTGGCCATCGACAGATATCTCTGGCAAACATGATTGATTATCAGCGAGGCGGAACATTTCATTAAAAAATGCTACAAGGATGGCCAAAGTCAACCAGCTGTCAACACACTCCTTCCAAAGGTCCAGGTATAAATGTCACTCTTGGTTCGGCTTAATGAGCCACCCAAGAAGGTGTGAATAAAACTTGAAAAAAAAAACACCAAAAAGAAAAGATTATTACTGACTTTTATCAGATTCTAACATCAAATTACTTGTGTTTGCATTAGACATTTCGAAAGAACTTTATTACCTTCCCCTGTATTTTATAGTACAAACTCATAAAACAGGTTGTACTTTTGAATATATTGAGTTAATTCCCTAAATTATGGCAAATCGTGAGCGAGGGTGGGTGGGGGCACCCATTGCAGGTGCCAAATTACAAGACAACCAAAATCGTATTTTTTCGTTCAAGAAATATATGTATATGTATATATAACTATACATACATATATATATATATATATATATATATATATACTTTTTTAAAGGAAAGGGTGCATACATTCAGGCTTAGCAACTTTTTCCGAGAAAAAAAACCAACACAAATTATGTTTTTTAAAAAAAATTATTTACATTGCGTACATATTAGCATACGCTAAATAAGTCATTCATTGAGAGAACAGGTAAGCGAATGTTAAAAAATAATAACTTACCATTAATTATTAATTGACAATTAAAAGAAAGTACGCTCTGTGTATTATTTACTGTCACATTGTAATTAGTATTATTTAATTTGCCCAATTCAATCGTTAAGTTCATTCCTTCGTTACACAACGCATTAGTAATTGGAAAGGATGCATTGACAGGTTTCCCACACTCATACACAGTGAATCCATTTATTGATATTATTGTAGAGTTGCACTGGCTATTTACAGTAAACTTGATGTCTTCCATATTGCTTCCAAAACTGATTTCCGAATCGTTCCTACACACTTTTGGATTGGCTGAAGAAAGGATTAACGAAGATAACGTTAATATTTTTAAAGTGTATAGCTTATTACACATTCTTAAAACTACATAATATGCATACTTTANATATATATATATATATATATATATATATATAAAAAAAAAAAAAAAAAAAATATATATATATATATATATATATATATATATATATATATATATATATATATATATATATATATATATATATGTATTTAAAGTTGTTCCTTCTTTTTTAAATATATTTTTAAACAAATTCAAATTTTTAAATGACTTCATATTGTATTTATATTGAACCACGCTCTATGCTAATTGCATTTAGTCTAGCAAGAAATGAAGCATGTTTACTAAAATGCAATAATTATGACGTCTAATTTTTGCAATTATCTAATTAGTGTCAACCCCCAAACCCACCCATTTTTTGAAAAAGAAATGAAGCACTACTAAATTGATTTCTGTACACTAATTGAATTTTGACATTTTTTAAAAAAAATATAGTGCTACGTTTAGTATACGTTTTACTGAACCTTTGGATAATCGCATGTATTTAAGTTGAATTAAAGTGATTTATTTCAAAAAATACATTAACAATAGCATGAAATAAATAGAGTTAAAAAAAGAAAAATGATTAAATTATTTTGATAATGAAATAAAAGTCAGTAATCTATAATTACACTTACTGCTTAAAACAGGCTTTACTGCAGTAATATTGAGAATGCTGAAAACAAATAGCCCTGTGCTGACAGATGTGAAGACTGGATTGTGTGGTTTCATTTCTCCAATACTATTACACCCTGTTTCCAAATGTATTAATAGTATTTTTAAAGACAATACTTGCCAATTTAATTTAAACAAAAGCCAATTTAAAAAAAAAAATTAATATATATTATTTTAACAAATAAAATGCTGAAAAAGAAATATTTGGTTTCTGCTTAGAATAAATGTATCAATTACACTCTTAATTAGTTTGACATGAATCATTTCTCAATTTATATGTTTGATTTAATAATTGATTCACCTATGTTTTCCTTTTTTTATTTTTTTTTAAACTGCATGAACTATGTACAGTTAAAGCAAAAATTTTGTTTTTCATTTCCTTAAAAAACATTATTAGCATTCATTACTTAAAATAATAGTAATAAAAATACACAGTAAATCGATTTTAATTGCAATTAATGTTAAATATTGAAATTTAACATATTTCGTATATTGATGATTTTTACAATTTGAAATTGTTTCCCTATAATAGATTTAGTTAATCAACACAATTGAATAAAGAACGGTCCTTTGACACATCCATTTTAAATAGAAACAAAGCCGAAAGTGATGTGCTTACATAAGCCCTCTATAGGCAATTGACAAAACAATGACTATAAAAAAGGACAGCTTAACCTCACACACACACAAAAGACAAACGTGTGGTTTTCGTTTGTAGTTGCGAATTCACAAGGCTTGGGGTGGGATTATTTCTTTTCTTCCCGGTTGACGCTGTTGTCTTTTTTTTGGTGGATTTTACTGATATTTGAGTTTGAAACCCAACCAAATATCTAAATATTTAAGAGTTTTTGAAATATTTTGCTTTTTTTCTCTATTACACGCAATGGTGTTTTACACTGTATTACATTTTATGGGGGTTATGACATCGATAAAGAAAGTTGGTAATCACTAGGGGGTTGCAGACGTCAACATGTGACACCATTTCGAGGTGACACAAACTAGAAAATAATCAGAGGCTGCACGAGATGGTTTCCAAATAAATTTAAAATAAATAAAAAAAAAAAAAAAAAAAAGAATATTAGACAAATATAACCCGAGATATGTAAACAAC